CCTCCCGGCAGCGCTCGAGTCTCGCTCGGGGTGAGAGAACGGGCGGCTGGGGCCGGGAGCGGAGGACCGGAGTCCCCGGGTCCGAAGGGACCCGCCCGGCGCGACGGGCTGCTTCACCTGCCGCCCGCACTGACACTTCCTCGGAGCCTCTCCTTCTGGTGTCAGCACTCGCTCCCTGCAGAGCCCCCGAGGGAGGGCCGCTGTCACGGTCTGCGCCGGCGGAGCCTTCCTCGGAGGAGAGGATGCTGCAGGGGGTCCGCTTGTGCCTGGTGGTGTGGGTTGGCCAGCGAGCCCAGGGCGAGGTCCAGGTGACGTTTGCAGCGAACCGGGCTGGTCCGCAAGGGTTCGGGGAGAGCGTGCCCGGATCAGCCGCGCCCAGCAAGTCAGGCTGTGTCCCACACGGGGAGGGCTGGCCGTGCCTTAGAAGCGACTTGACAGGAACCATTCTTGGCGGGCGACTTCACCGTCATTCCGCGAAGCATGTCATCATCCTTTAAAAATACCTCTTTAAAAGAAGCAACTTAGTGTAAGAGCTTTTCTGTCATTAGCAACGTAACCTGGTCCTCGTGGAGAACTGCTTTAGAGGTGGGTGGTCTTTGGCTGGACTCTCGGAAGACGGAGGAAATGAGCGCACCCACCGCGCCTGGGCGTGGGGAGAGGCGGTGGCCGGTTAACTTATCAACGTGCGGTTCGTGTGCAAGTAAATGGTGCCTCTTGAAGAGTGGATGGACTCTGAGATTTAATGCATCCAGAACAGGAGGGATGACAGTACTGTATCTAAATGGAGCAAGTTGTCTTACTTGTTCAAGGTGAATCTTTTTGTTGTTGAGAGTTTATAAGTGTACCACTGTGTTTGAGGTATGCGGTGACAAGTGACTGACAGTAAGGCGCTTGACTGTGTTTTTTCTCTCTTGGAATTGGGAGAGTGTGAAATCATTGGTAGTCTAGGAACAGAAGTTTTAGTCCTAATCCCAGCTTTGTCACTGACCTTGGACGAGTTATTTTACTTCTCCGTTTGCACCTCTTTAAAAAGAGAATGGTGTAATACACACATTTAACTTATAGTATCATGACTGGAATGAACTTTAAAGCCCTGAAACACTCAGTAGATGTAAAATAGAGTTAAAAGAAGCAGTAAGAGTAACTGTCAAACAGAGCTGCTCTCTTGACATTGATAGGACTGAACAAGTCAGCCTTTTCTCTCGAGATAAGTTTAGAATTTTAAGTTAACACTTGTATAAAAATAAGCAAGTGCTTAAAAACTCAGTTTTCTAGCAATTACTAGTGTAAAAAAGGGTGTTACCTTTTTTTTGTTTTGTTAAAGTTTTCTTTGAACATATATTATTTCTGAAGCATTCTAGTGGGAAACCTTATCTGGATCAGGTAGCCCCTGTTTGCATTGTAAAAACAGGTCTCTTGCCCGGAAGTATGGAAACAGCGTTCTCTCTTAGTGGGATACTACTCAGTGAAGGGTAAAACTAGGAGAGCTTTTCAAAACTACACCAAAACATTATTTTAAACAAGACAAAATCTTGAACATGTAAATTTGCCTTTAGCGCCATAATTTATTTGGGCACTTTAATTTTTTTGTAAAATTTCATTTTCATGTGGTAATATCTTGTAATACATTTACATTATTTGGTAGACATTTCAACTCTTGTCTAGCCATTATAATTAAATTTTTTTTCATGAATGAGTTTGCATTTATTATTTCTGAGTACAAGTGATTGTTTTTGTGACTGTTTTCTGATTTTAAAATAGGGCAGATAGTGTTCCTTAATCAGAAACCAAAATTTACTTTTTAAAAAATATTCTTGTTATTGATTTCATAGAGGAAGGAAGAGGGAGAGATAGAAACATTATCGATGAGAGAATCATTGATTGGCTGCCTCCTGCACACCTCCTACTGGAGATGGAACCCGAACAATAACCTCCTGGTTCATAAGTCGACAATCAACCACTGAGCCACACTGGCAGGGGCCAAAATTTACTTTCTGGGGTTAGGAGTTGTAAATCTGTTTTTGACAGTTGGTGATTTTGACCATTTAAAAAAATTTTTTTTTCTTTGGGGTGTATAAAGTTTCACAACAATTTTTCAGATCATTCAGAAGTTCTGATTTGGATGAATACATTCAACTTAAATCTGCTTATAAGATAAGTAAAAATAGGACTCTTTAAAAAACTTCCTGAAAGAAAGTATGGAGTCGTGGGGAAGAGAGTGGATGAGGAGGTAGTCTAACATCTAAGCTGAGAGCTGTAATTTTGGCCCTTTTAAAACATTGACAGGTCAGGTTCTAGAGCTAGAAAGGACCTCAGAGGTTGTGCAGCCTCACCACCTCAGAGAAAACCAAGGCTAGAGCACGTGCAGACCTGTGTTAGGGCTTTCTTATGGTAAGGAAAAGGAAACAGCTGAATCTAAAACACTGTCCTAATGAGAAGAGACTGATCAAGCTTTTTAGTCACAAGGATGCCATATACTCTGAGCATTTCAGAATTTACCCCAGCATTTTGGCGTATATTATCTCATTGAATCTTTTTTTAAAAAAATATATTTTATTGATTTTTTTTTACAGAGAGGAATAGAGAGTTAGAAACATCGATGAGAGAGAAACATCGATCAGCTGCCTCCTGCACACCCCCCACTGGGGATGTGCCCGAAACCAAGGTACATGCCCTTGACCAGAATCGAACCTGGGACCCTTCAGTCCGCAGGCCAACGCTCTATCCACTGAGCCGAACCGGTCAGGGCATCTCATTGAATCTTGAAAGCAATCCTCTGAGGTAGATGAAAGCATCATCTCACAATCGAAGTGGTTTGAAATGGGGTTCCTTGTGTGAGGAGATGTAGTTTTATGAATTTATGTTGCTTAACTAAAGGTAATTTAAACATTGGTTTAATACTGATATTAATAATTTCAACAAAGATTGAGTGACTAACATGATAATAATTGTACTAGGTCAGTGGTTCTCAACCTTCTGGCCCTTTAAATACAGTTCCTCATGTTGTGACCCAACCATAAAATTATTTTCGTTGCTACTTCATAACTGTAATGTTGCTACTGTTATGAATTGTAATGTAAATATCTGATATGCAGGATGGTCTTAGGCGACCCCTGTGAAAGGGTCGTTCGACCGCCAAAGGGGTCGCGACCCACAGGTTGAGAACCGCTGTACTAGGTGATGTTGGGTATCCAAGGATGAGTAAGCCTGTGTCCCTCTCCCAAAGAACTTTCAACTACTAGCTTTCAAGCCTTTTTATAGCATACTTTGCTTTCCTTTTTTTTAAAAAAGGTTGTTTTAGGATACAGATGCCAAAGGTAGTTGGGCTTATTGAACCAACCCTTTCATTTTATGGAGACCTGTTTTTACATAAATGTGAATGGCCACCATTTAGTTCCCAGCCGAAGGAAGCATCACTCCCCCTGCAAATCCTTCCAGTCGCAGGCTAGATCAGTTGTTTTCCCTATTACGTGTTCTCAGAGCATCTTGTACTTTGCCTTTATGGCACTTTTTAAAATTTGTAATTCTTTGGGTGATAACCTGTCTTTTTCATAAACCTGTCTTTTCCATAAACATGTCTTTTCTGCCTTCTCTGTCCTCCTAGGGCCCTGCAGAGTGACCAGAATAGAGTAGGCCTTTACTGTTTGTACTTGTTGAGTAAATGACAATAAAACATCCATGTCCATCTATGTCATCCTTTAAAAAGGTCTTTAAAAGCTGGAAAACCTATTCAATTTTGAGCCCAAAAGTAATAGGTATTTTTAGTAGCTCATATCTTTTTAAAGGCATTGGAAATTATTGTTAATAGGTTACAAATTAGCTTTCTTACAACTGGGAATTGTGTTGCAAGTGATGGTGAAGTAATGGCACAGATTACTTTTGATCTACTTCTGTCAAACAATGTTACCTACCAGATCTATGTACTAACAAACACCTCTTTAAAGCGATACATACTCAGAATTACTTGGCATTCAAGTCAAAGAGCCTTTCTCCCCACCCCCCATCTTAGATTCCAGGTCACAAATGTGCTGCCCAGAGATGTTATTGAAACAATTTTTACAATAGATAGGACACAGAATTACATGACTTGCAAGGCCTTTTCAACTCTTAAAGTTGTATGATTCTATGCTCAATAATTTGTTTACACTTTAAAATATTTATTGATTTGAGAGCTTGATTAATTGTTCCATTTATTTATGCATTCATTAGTAACTTCTTATATGTGCCCTGACCTGGGATCAAACCCAGAACCTAGGGCTAGCTCTAACCAACTGAGTTACCTGGCCAGGGCAGTCATTTTTAAATGAAAATAAATTCATCTTTCTATTGGGAAGATATCTTCATGGATTCATTGCCTACTTCTTGAATGGGAATTGGGAAGTGTGGAGTATAGTGAAGGCAAGTTGAACACATTGTGATTCTAGGTCAGTGATGGCGAACCTTTTGAGCTCGGCGTGTCAGCATTTTGAAAAATCCTAACTTAACTCTGGTGCCGTGTCACATATAGAAATTTTTTGATATTTGCAACCATAGTAAAACAAAGACTTATATTTTTGATATTTATTTTATATATTTAAATGCC